TAAATGAAATCCCATTCTTCCAAAAGCTGAGGACAAAACTACACCCTCTTTGCATTTTTGTTCTTCAGTCCTATTTCTCCTAAGCACCCATCTCTCTTCATTCTGTATTAAGAATTTTATTCTTTTTGTCTCTTCCCACTTACACAAGAATTCTTTAAAAGCAGGGGCCTGTCTTATTTGTCTGAATCCACAGCACCTAGCAGTGTATGATGGATTATTTGTATAAAGAGGCCATGACTGTAAGAGAATAAGCTCCTGTTTGTTAAGTCCATCCCATTTGTAGTATATATTCTTATCAGAGTGGCACTAGGTAACCAGAACAGAATATGATACCGGGAGTGGGATGCTGCCCTGACAGATAACAAAAATGTGGAAACAGGAGTGGAGTGTGTCCTTGACCCAAGACCCCAGCAGAGAGACCATGGCATACAGCATGAGAGATGGCAGGAGCAAAGCTCAGAGACTGGCGTAAGAGACTGCAGGAGCAGAGCCCAGAGATTGGCATGAGACAGCGACAGCCTTACCAGCCCATGGAGGAGAAAGCTGGCTGCCTTTGGGTAGGCGGCTTCCTGGTAGAGTGGGTTGGCTTCAGGTATTAATTGGTAGAAAAGACCAGCATGAAATGGAGTAGCAGGTTGGCTGGCCCACAGAACAAGAAAGCCAAGTGCTTTTTGGGCAGGAAGATTTCTGGCGGAGTGGGTTGCCTTTGGCATTAATCAGCAGAAGCGGAGAGTTCAAGGAAATAGGAAGCAAAGCTGCCTCAGCCTCAAGGGTAGGACCATGGCCTTTGGGGGTGGAACGACCACAGCTCCCTAGGTTTCAAAGAGCCAGACCTTCACCAACTTGGTTCTGGAGTGTGGGGCTGCTAGTTCATGTGAGTCAGTGGGATGGAGTCAAGCCACTGCCCAAGAGTGAGGGGGCAGGGCTGCCATGCCCAAGAGGGAGAGGAACGGGGCCCACCAAACCATAGGGGTGAGGTCGCCACTCAGGAACTAGGGTACTGGAGTCACTCAGTGAAGATATCTGTACAGATACCACCCACTGAGGATCTGTACAGGTGCCAAGTTGACAAGGGGTGGAATTGTGGTAGTTAAATGTGTGTGTCAGCTTGGCTGGGCCTGGTTGAGTGTCTGGGCAGCTGAATATAGTTATTCCCCATGGTGAGATTAGAAATTAACTCCATGGTGGAATCTACTGGAGCAGCTGATTAGCTGCTTTGGGTATGTGGTCTGCTTCCTGTATATAAGAAACAGTTTTGGGAATGGTCTCTAGCTTATGGCATGTTTGAACCCTGCATGTAGCCATGTCATTGTTCAGCAGCCTACCATGCTCTGCCAATCTCTGGGACTTTCAATGGACTTAAATTAATGGCCTGCCATGTGGTTTGGTAACATTGGGACTGTGCCTTTTTACTTGTCAACCTTGGGTTTGTCAGTCTCAGCAGCCAGCAGCTGTCTGAGTGAAAAAAAGCCTCTAGCTCCAGTGGAGTGGGAGCAGGAGGCAAAGCTGAACCCCAAGGTTGAGGGGCTTTCACCCAGCCCCTAGAGCCTGGCACTTTGAACTTGGATTTCTAGCCTCCCAAACTGTAAGAGAATAAACTCCTATTTGTTAAGGCCATCCCATTTGTGGTATATATTCTTGTCAGAGTGGCACCAGGTAAGCAGAACAACATTGAAACTGTTAAGTTTCAAGGGGGAATGGATGGATCCCTGTGTAGAAAAAGACTTATAAATAGGAAAGTAGACTTCAGTTGGATTTTTAATGGTTGCTTAGGACTAGTCAAGGCAGGTTTAGGTTGTACCTTGGTGTTGTTGTTGTTGTTATGTGCCATCAAGTCAGCCCCGACTCATAGTCTCATAGCGACCCCTCCTTGGGTTTCCGAGGCAGTAACACTACGGAAGTAGGATTGCCCAACCTTCCTTCTGAGGAGTGGCTGGTGGGTTTGAACCGCCAGCCGTCTGGTTAGCAGGCAAGTGTCTTAGCCACTATGCTACCAGAGCTCCCAACTCCAAACTCTCAGAGGATTAAAACAGTAAAGGTTTACTTCTTACTTTCTCTACATGTCAAACATAGGTAACCTAGGAATTTGTCCTGGGTCCCAGGCTGATGGAATAGCCACCATATGAAGCACTGATGCATCATCTGAAGCACCAATGACTGAGGGAAAAATAACGGCAAATCACATACAGAAGTTCTTACCATGAAGGGGTACACATCTCTCCTGCTCACATTTCACTGACCAAGAGCAACTCACATGGCAATACCCCAACTTTAAGGGGCTAGCAAGTACAATTCTACCACATGCTCAGGGGACAGGAACCAAAAATAACTGATGGAAAGTACTAACAACTACCATACCATTAAAAGGAAACTTTTAGTTCCAAGCAACAATATTTTAACTCCTGATGTCTATTCCCCATCTGTGAAAATTAACTCCACTGCAAAGTCCTATCTATGGGTCTTCAGGAATGTAACTTCACCAGTTAGGCCTGCCTCTTTCATCACCCAGAGTGAGAGTACAGCAAGGAAGCCAAATATGGGTGATAGGAAAGTGCTGAGCCCAAGGCCAACTTTCTAGTTCAATGTCAAAAGTAAAGAAAAGCCTTGACAAGAATAGGCAAGAAAATATGTTACATACAGATTCAGAAAGCAGGGGAATCTTCACCAGATTTCTTTTATTAAAGGTACGGAGCAGCCAGGCTTTGGCGTTCTGGGCACTGCTTCTTAACTGAAGTCTAAGTTTCACTCAAACCACTTGATGGAATATGACTAGCAAAGTCAGCCAAAATATTCCTTTCAACATAAAAACACTATATGTAAACAAAACAAAACAAAACAAAAAACCCCAAAACATGCTACTGGAACAAGGAAAACAAAAAGCAAAACAACAGTTATAGCCAAGTACGACTCACAGTGACCCCACGTGTTATAGAACAGAACTGCTCCATAGGGTTTTCTTGGCTGTAATCTTTATGGGATTTGCCAGGCCTTTCTTCTGCGGAAATCAACTCAATGGCAGTGAGTTTGGTTTTTTTTAGTTTTTTCTTCTGTAGCAAGGAGCTCTGGTAGCACAGTGCCTAAGGCATCTGACTGCTAACCAGAAGGTTGGTGGTTCAAATCTACCAGCCACTCCACAGAAGTAACACCGGGCAATCTACTTCCATAAAGATTTACTGCCTCAAAAACCCAATGGGAGTCACTATGAGTCAGAATCGACTCGATGGCAGTGGTTTTTGGTTTCTTCTGGGCACCACTGAGTAGGTTCAAACCACCAACTTTTAGGTTAGTGATTCAGTGTAAAGCATTTGTGCTACCCAGGGACCTTAGAAACAAAGAAGGGAAGCTGTTATTTTAGAGATGGATTTTACTAAAGTTTTTTTTCCCTAAAATCTCAACAATTTGTTGAAAGAGAGTGGCCTCGTAATTTTTAAACTCAAGACAATCTGTGATGAATCCCAGGTCTGCACAGATTTAACAGATGGGTACCCCAAGTTCTAAAGTCCCCTCTGTAGTTTCTATACAAAATCCAAATACTTTCTGTGAAACTGTCTGCCAGAAGCATAGGGACTAATTGGAGATGTTTATACACTTGGAACTGTAAAGCCCCCAAGATATTCCATACAAGGGCCAAGCAGCAGTTCAAACGCTGTCACCTGTCAAATAAGAAACAAATTAACTTGTAACCAGCTGTGATGGAGCCTATGAAGAAAAAGCACTCCCCCATCATTTATATTCAACAAACATGTACTAACCGCGGGGGGGGGGGGAGTGGTGGTGATGGAGTTGTGGGGAAATAAGAGATGGACAGGGTTCAAAGATTTAGTTCTTCCATACACTTTATTTAGTTAAAAATAAGGCAAAAACAGATTGGCTAACAAAAAGTTAAAATAACAATAACCTAAATACCATAACAAGAATATAGCAAAAGCTGTCCTAACATTTACGTTAACAATCACCTTAGCAGAGAAAAGTACCATATTTGCCTTAGTAAGTGGCCAGAATAAAGAAAAAGAAAACAAAAAGTCTCTATTGGTCTAATGACAGTTGAGCAGAACAAAGCTCATTTCTTTCTTTCTTTCTCTCTCTCCCTTCCTCTCAACGGTTTCAGCCACAATCCCTCCAACATTCTAGCCTTCACATCCCGCTGGCAGCCACACACCACTTCCAATCACAAACAATGCCCAGACCATCAAGGTCAGCCCCAAAGGCGCTGGATGCAGAAATCGGAAACGGATCTTTGTACATCTATAAGGCGAAAAGGGACGGGGTGGAACCATCCCCAGTGCCCTCCCCATACTGAAGCAACCCGGGGCTTGTCTCCGGCATCAGGGGCCAGGCGTCTGCCACCTTCGGGGGTTCAGTGCCCGTTTCTTCTCTCCACCCAGTTGGTTTTTCTTTTGCGTCCCCAATGACCTCCATCTCCCCTGAACCATAGCTCTCCATTCTGAAGTGAAGGGGCGTCGCACAGCAGTCTGGGGAACCAGGAGGTGGGAACCGCGCAGTAAAGGAGCTGCTGTCAGAGTGTGAGTGTGTGTGTGTGTGTGTGGGTGGGTGCGGGTATTCTGTAGGGAAGCCGCTGTCAAGGGGTAAGGCTCTAGAGGAGTCTTTATAGGTGAGCCGTTTCTGGGGAAACCCACTTGGGGTGCTATACAGGGGTTCTATTGTGTATGTGGGGTCTCTGGGAGAAACATACTACGGGGAAGACAAGTAGGGTATCAATAGGATAGCGTTTCCTGGAGAAAACGTTCTACAGAGTGAAGATGTCATAGTACGGGGTCTCCACAAGGAAGTCGTTGTGGGGCGGTCTAGAGAAAAGCCATTGTGTGAGTCTCTACAGAGAGCCCCGTTTCTGGGGAAACATTCCCCAGAGAGCCGTTTCGTGGAGAACGGCCCGCGAGGAAGCCATGTCGGGCCACGCCCTGCGGCGGTAGGCGTCGTCGGACCCTGCCAGCCTACAACCCCCCGCCCAGCCGCCCCTCTTCGGCCCGGGGCCCGCGTACCTGACGAAGGGCGACCCGCGGTTGGAGCCTCCCGGGGGCCGCATACGAGGCATCCCCAGCCGGCGCAGGGGGTACACGTCCATGGCGGTGGGCGGAGGAGGAATACCGTGCAGCTGCGAAGAACTCCCAGGCCGGCCGGCGGCTCAAGGCCCGCTGCTGCCGG